AATCAACTCTCAGGGTGAATAGAAAAAAGAAGCCATAAATTTGAATTGGGATATACCGATGCCCAAGATTTTACCTACTTTCTGCTAAAATTTTAGTCGGTCTTTAGACACAAGTGCTCACACTTCAGTGTTAAATTAAATTAAATTTGTGTGAAGCCCTATCTCATATTCTGTGCAAAACGATGGCTTATGAGAAACAGCAGATTTTTGATTGGGTAAATTAATATGAGACAATAAATTCCTGTTCAACAACCATGGTTTACACCATTTCATTTTAGTTTTTAAGCTCATCTTTTTTTTGGTTACACACACTGCAGCCGTTGCAAGAATGAACTCTTCGTCCAAATGTTCCATCTTGGCAACAATGCAGGTTTGGGTGTAAAATGAACTGAACGTGTAAACGTCAGATTTTCGTTCAGGTCATCTGCACAGATCTGGCTTGCGCAAGCCAAATCGTTCAGATGGCTTGAGCGTGTAAACGGGCTTTAACTGAAAGTAAATCATGCAAGAGCTTATTTCGGGGCGCTTTTCGCTTCGAAAACTGATAAACTAAAGCGTAGTCGTATAACTGTTCAGTAAAGGGCTTTACTGTATCAGTTTTCCTCATTGAAATTGGTGAGTGACTCGCACTTTCAACAGTGGCAGGCTCTGGGTTGGGATTTTCCATTAGCGCATGTATTGAAAATTGCGTTTTTCCCATAGACTCGTTGCCGCCTCCGCACATGCCGCCCATTCAGCACGTAATGCCACCGCAACATTTGCCCAATACTATGATGCCGCCGCCGCCCATGACCAACGTGCCGCCCCCGGGCCATTCTCAGCCAATGGTATGGAACACTGCGATTCCGTCGGTTTTTCCCATTGTACGACTCATGCTTTTCTCGTATAGGCTCCGATGGCTCAGCAGCATGTGCCGATCCCGCCCAACCATGCAAACACGCGGGCCAACTCCCACACGCCGCCCCAGTACCAACAGGGGCCGCCCCCCCGGCATGGAATGCACCACTCGAACGGCCCGCCCAATCACAAAGGGCAGCCGAACGGTGACTTAATGCTTAAGACTAATCGAACTCACCGGCAGCAGCAGAACTATGCTCAAGCTCCGGATAGGGGGCAGGCGATGCCGCCCGGGCATCCGCAAGGTCCGCCTCCTCAGCAGGTTTGTGCGCCGACAGCGGACACTCTTCACATTGATCTCGTTGGGGGTGTTTCAGGAGTGTGGAGCTCACTCGGTGCCGCAGGCGATGCGTCAGCCGCCCCCCGTCGCGGGCGTTCAGAATCAGGAGGCCATGAAGGAGCTCCATTTGTTCGCCAAGGAGTTCAATCTGGTCCCGATGGCGCATAGCAGTCCGGCAGGGTCCTCAGTGCCTCCGCACTTGGCGGTGCAGCATGGCGGGCAGATGCCGCCTCCGGATGCGGCGCAAATGGGGCCGCCAGCTCAAGCCCTCAGTGGCGGCACATCGGCGAATAGCGCCCATGCCGCAAATGCGCCCAGGTGAGTCCCTTCTACTAGTTCAGTCGTCTTCAGTGGAGACTGATGGGTTTTGTCTTCTGGTAGCAGTGGGGCTGATCAAGGTCAGGCGACTGGGGGCGCACAAACGCAGCCGACTCCCGCGCAAAGTCCGCCAAGCGATAGCGACAAGTTGCAGACTGCAGTGTCGAAATCGAAGCTGAACCCCAACGCTAAGGAATTTGTTTTGAGTCCCATGCCGAAGCCCTTCCAACCTAGGTGAGTTGACGCGTTTCAGGGCTACTTGTTCGGTTGCTCCTTTCCCTTTTTGAGCCTCAATTGTGTCATGCCAGTGAAGATTTCCGTACTTATGGTGGACCTTGGTCGAATTTGTACACGCATATTAAATTGCATTTAGGAATGTTTTCCGGGCTTTGAAGCCGTGGTCTATCGCAATTTCTTCCTGACGTTTCGTCCACAACTGCGCTGGACATTATCAAAGGCGATGAGGCAGTGGGCGAAGCGATCTCCCGTGCTTTCCGACTAAGACTGGTTCAACTACTGGATCCCCTGTGGCCGCATAAATACGACAGGGGATCCAGTAGTTGAACCAGTCTTA